CACAAACCAGGTACCGGTGACTCTTTGAACTATTCCCCATAGCCAGCAAAATAAATAAGAACACTATAAAAGACTGTCATCACCTACTCTAAGGTTTTGTGTGTTTTTTGGTGGGTGGTTTTTGTTTGTTTGTTTTGCAGTCAAATACAAATAGGTTATATGAAACACACAGAGGAACTTACAAAAGTGAAGAACTTTAACTGCAGAAGAAATCCAAGAACAGCCTCTTTAGGAAGAGTGACCTTGCATACAATTAGACCTATCGGGTCATACATTTTTTCCAAGTTGTGTCTAAAGCAGGGTGTTTCTATAAAAATCTAAGGACTTTTTCAAACAAGAAAAAACAGAAAGGCACACTGCATACCGTTTTTATTGAAGCAATGTTGATCTATCTTCAGAGAATCTGCCAACATGGGAGTCTTAAAAATGGAAAACGGTGTATTGGGCTTCCAGAGTAAGTAATCCAAAATCCAAAACATTAACTGTATGGTGGCTTTCACTGGTTAATGAGATCATTACACTGCTGATGTTCAAAACAGCCAGGTTTTTCTAAACATGCCATACCAACATGTTTTTCTACTGTAACTTCCAAATACCTTTGTATTTCCGTAAACTTCTATAACGAAGGACTCATTTTATGGTTAGAAAGATATTTAAGTACTAGTGATTCATCATAAGATTTTTCTTTTCAAAGCAAACACGTGCTGAAGGTCTGAATCAGCCTACCGAAGCATACTCTTTAGAATAGCGGTCGAGAACCCATGGTCGGCGGACCACTGGTGGTCAGTGAGGTCCGAAAGGTTGGCGACCTGCTTTAGAGGGCTAGTCGTGCCAGGTGTGAGGCCCTGGGTACACTCCGAGAATACCAGCAACTAGTCCAGAACTTGGAAGCCATCCAATTACAGCTCAGAATTGCATCTCCTCACCATCTGTCTCACAGACCACCATTCCTGGACATCCATCACTACACTGAATTAGAAAAACCTCCAATTTCCCTCCACAGTACAATCCAGATAGCTATAACCTAACATCTACAAGCTACTCAACAGGGTGACTGAGCATTTGCTTTTTTTTGTTATTTTCTCCACTCCAAAGAAGAAGCTATGATCTGTAATCAGCAGCCTGCTTCCACTCCCGATTTACTAGGGGAAATGGGAGAATCAATCGCTCACAACATTCTACTCCACCTCTAATTCCCAGATAAAACACTTGGGGCAAGCTCTAACTCCCAGATGCCCTCTTAGACATGGATGAAGGACCTCATCCATCTGACTCTTCCCCACAGATGATATTTACCTCTAAATGCTGAGAGCACATGCCCATGAAATCAGTCCTTTACTAAACAGGCAGATCAGAATAAGTGCTAACATACAAAAGAGACAGAAATGACCATTAGCTATTATACAAGCTTCTATTGGCCTTTGGGCTTAAAAAAAAAAAAAAAAAAGAGGCTGAACTTTGGTTCAGTTCACAACAACGAGATGCCACCACACACCTATTACAATATTCAAAATGCACCAACACGGACAATTTCAAATGCTGTCAAGGATGTGGAGCAACAGGAACTCTTTCGTTGCTGGTGGGAATGCGAAAACAGGACAGCCACGGCTTGGCACTTCCTTAACAAAATTAAAAGTACGCTTACGCACAATCCGGTCACTGTGCTCCTTGCTCTTTACCCAACTGAGCTGAAATTCCTGTCCACAAAAACCAAACACGCTGGTGTTTATCGCAGCTTTATTCATCACTGCCAGGATCTGAAAGCAGCAAAGTCCTTCAGCAGGTAAAGGGGTAAATAAACTGTAGCACATTGAGATAATGGAATATTATTCTGTGCGAAAAAGAAATGAGCCATCAAGCCATAAAAAGTCATGAAGGAAACCTAAATGCCTATTACGAGGTGAAAGAAGCCGTTCTGAAGAGGCTGCAATACTGTATGATTCTAACTCTGTGACATTCTGGAAAGGACCAAACTATGGAGACAGTGCAAAGAGCAGCAGTTGCCAGGGATCAGGGAAGGGTGGAAGGGCAGAGTGTGGAGGATTTTCAGGGCACCGTATCTGCCTTGTATAATACTAGTGGGTACATGTCAGCATACATTAGGCCAAACCCACAGATGTACAACACCAAGAGTGAACCCTAATGTAAACTATGGACTTTGGGTGCTTAGGATGTGTCAGTGCTGGTTCACTGATTATAACAAATGTACCCTTTTTTTTTGGGGGGGGGGGGGGTTGGACACAGCGGGAAGGAGGGGAGGCAGGACAGGGAGTACAGGGGAAACCTCTGTACCTTCCAATCCATTCTGCCGGGAACCCAAAGCTCCTCTAATAAAGTCCCTTTAAAAAAACAAAAAAAAGGCGCCTCCCTCTTCTCCGGGTGAGGCTGATGAGCAATGTACCTTCCCGATCCCTAAGCAGGGAAAAGAAAAGGCCATAAACATCTCCCGAGCTCACAAACATGCAAATTGCTATTGTAACCAGAGGAACTAATAAGAATCAGGAAGGCAAGTGAATAGGATGATGGTTCCATCGTCACTTCAAATGAACTAAAATGATTTTAAGTGAAAAAATTAACCGAATATCTAGGTCTTGTCACCAACTTCCCAGGCAGCTCCCCGCTACGGTTTAAGTTAGAGTCATCAGGGGTGATACGGCTTAACCTTAACAAAGAGGACAACACAGTGTTGCACCAGGGACCCCACAGACCCATTTCATGTAGCCACACACACTGGGCCCTGGTTCAGTTCACAAAACTTCTGAAACCTTAAAGGAGCCTCTTCTCTGCATTTGGCCTTAGCAGCCCCTGCCAAGTCCTCGAGAACCAGGTAAACCACAAGCCCTTTCATTTGTCTCCCTGACTATATTCATCAGAGATTAGGGAAGAATGGAGAGGCTTCTAGTACGTGTAAGCTGTCATCCGAAACGATGTTTAAACTTTACTCAGAAGGCCACAGGGCATTTCACAAAGTGCGTTTGGTTGGGTGTCATTTGTAGTGGAGGGTAAGTGCTAAGGAATAAAGCCACCACCTCACACGCTCTCCACGCCAAGAGTTCAGAAGGCCTCTGATTTTATATTCCAGGAAGGACCAAGCGCGGTTGTCCTTGCAAAAACCAATGTGCTTGTGCACAACTTACAGGCCTACTTATAGTATGGTCAAGTGTCAAACAGATAACCCTTTCATAGCATCTCCACACCCATGCTCCCTCCCAAACTAACAAAAACAGCCTGAATTGCTCACTCTGTAGGCAAGAGGCTAGACATTCTGTTTCATGTAAGTTTTACTACTTTCCGTGGTTCACATTCTCCCAGAGACTAACCTTCTCATTTACGAACTCAAACCCTTAAATAAACTGCTTCCACCGGCTTCGCCCTCTCCTCAAACCCTCGCTCAGCAGCCGTCTTTCTTGGCCAAGAAAGCTGCAGAGGAGGCTTGGAAGTGGCTGCCTATGGAAATGTCTCCCCCTTCCTACCAAAGGGGCTAATTTGAGAATTTCACAGGTCCAATTCCATTTGTGAGGACTGGATGTGAGCATACTGAGCGTCTTTCTGCAATCAATTTCTATCTGGGCTGCCAATCGCCCTGAAACTTGGGTGGAAACCTGCTTTCTAAGCTAATTCAGATCGCCGTCCGGTTCCTATGCATGGCCTAGAGTTGGAAGGCACGCACACCTACACTCTCACTCCTCCATGGAAGGCTTTCCTGGCACAAGAGCATCCCACTTCATTCCCAGCGTGTGATCTCGGAGCCATGTCCAAGTCTATATCTCTTTCTCCACCTGAAGGTTTGGTCTAGTCAGTCACTGTGCAGCAGCGATGGCAATTTTTTTTTTTCCTCCTTGATTTCTTAACGTTTCCTTTTCTGCTCCTGGCGGGGAAACTGCGTAGACCTCAGTAGGGTTGTCTGTAGGGGGATTCTGCATGGCAATGAGGTGGCTAGCTGACAGGGGACAGCCCTCGGTGTACTTTTGCCGGTTATGTTTTGTCTCATCACAGCTACAGGGGACTTTCTAGGCGCCTATGAGGGAGATCTATGTCCCTAATCTCACCCCTGTCTTCAGGGGGAGCCTCCGGGGACAGCTTGTTCTCCCGTCAAGTATATCCGGATTCAAAAGGCAAAATACCCCCAAGACACTTCACCACCAATGAAACGCACACACGTAAGGTACATCTTGCTCAAGCAAGGGAGTCGCTCGCTACCTTTCACGCTGGTCTCAGGCTTCCTACCCTTCACGGTCCAGACCCGTGTGAGATGCTGCATTCACGCGGTCCTACACCGCCTCTGCCACCCCAACACCCTCACCCTCCCATCCTCACCCTCCCCACCAAGGAAAGGACTTCCAAATCGAGGTAGGAGCATCGGCTCCCTCCGGCACCCGCCCTTCCCTCTCTGATCCTGGCCAGAAAAAACTCCACTTCCCGGATTCCCGGCCACTCGCTCTCTCCCGCCCCCTCCCCGGCGATCCAGATGCCAGCCAAGTGCCCGGCCCAGCCGCGCACCCCCGCACCCCAATCCAGCCCCCCCCCCTCCAACCCCGACACACAGGCCCCAGCTTCCTCCCTCCTCCCTAGCGCAGGGCTCCCCAGATCCTGGAAGCACCCCGCAGGCACGCTGCTAGCACTGAGGAAGTCCCACCCCGCCCCCCAGCCACGCCGCCAGCCTCCAGCTCTGCCCGGGAGGGGCCTCCTCCCCAAGGGGGTGGAAATGGGACGTGAGTGGGTGGTCCCAGCAGCCTCCTCCCGCACCCCGCGACCGGCCTGGACCCCCGGGGAGGGGGCGGGGGGAGACAGACCCGCGTGGCCCCGGAGGGACACCTCCCTCTCCCACACCCTCCGGAGGCCGGCAGGTCTCGACCGAGAGCGTGCTCGCTGGGGACCCCGGGAAGCTCGGGGATCTCGGGGAGACCCAGGGAGGGGGGGCTGCCCGGGTCCCGGTCCTGCTGCTCTCGGGGGGCGAACGGGGGGCGGCGGCGCGCCCCCGGGGAGGGGGAGGCACTCACGATGGTCACGCTGGCTTTGCGCAGGTCGCGGTTCTCCTCCTGCAGCGCCTTGCACTTGAGCTTGTAGGTCTCCAGCTCGATCTTGAGCACCTTGTTCTCCTGCTGCAGCGAGGCCAGGCGGTTGGTGAGCTCCTCCAGGCGGAACGGCGAGATGACAATGCCCCCCGACTTCCCACCGCCGCCGCCGCCACCGCCGCTACCGCCGCCTCCGCCGCCACCGCCGCCGCCGCCGCCCGAGGTCGACGAGCAGGACGACTGCATGGCGGCCGGGCCGCCGCTGTTGCCCCCCGCGCCGTCCGTGTCGCTCTCGCTGGCGCTGTCCGCCATGGCCGCGGCGGCTGGGGAAGTAGGAGGAGCGGCGGCGGCGGCGGCGGCCGGGCTGCCAGGGAGTGGGCGCGGGGCGAGCGCAGGGGAGCGCCGAGCGGGCGCCTGGCACCAGGGCGCAGACGCGGAGCGGCGGCGAGAGAAAGAGAGGGCGCTTCCCGCGGCCGAGGGACCGCCTCCGCCGGGGAACAGAGACCCCGCCCGGGCTCGGGCAGTACTGCACCGGGGCCGCCGCCGCCGCCCGGCGCTCCGGAGGCCGCCCCGCCGCTCAGCCGAGGGCGCGGGGTCGGCCCGCCTCCAGGGACGCGCGGGCGCGGGCGCGGCGAGGAAGCCGAGCGGAGCCCCCGCACCAGCTGCCCGCCGGCAGCACGTGCTCCGGGGGAGGGCCTCCTCCGAGCCCCCCGGTGCAAGCCCCGGGCCGCCCAGCCTCTTCCGGGCCCGCGCCCCGCTCCCGGGAGAAAGAAACGCAGCGCCCCGCCGGCCCTGCAGGTGCCGGGGACACGTGGAGAGGGCGCCGGCCCCCGGCCGAGCCGCGGCCCCGGCTTCCGCCGCCCGAGCGCGCTCGTGTGTCTCCCTCTGCCTGTTTCACGCAGCCACGCAGCCCTTTCGGTTTTAGCTCCGGGAGCCCGGCTGGCTGGCCGGGAGGCGTGGAGTGGCTCTGAAAAGAACAGTAAGTTCCCCTGCCAGGAGGAGAGGGGGGCGCAACGCCACCAGCTGCCGCAGGTTAGCCGCGTCCGGGAAGGTTTGCAGAACACACACCGCCTCCTGGGCTCCCGAGACTCTCCCACACCGCGCTGCGCTCCATTGTTTAAAGGCGGTGCAACTTTTTCTTTTCTTTCTCTTTTTCCCCTTCGCATCGTGCAAATAGTTACCAGGGCATGCCTCACAGTAGAATGGAGACACCGACATCGAATCCAAAAAGAAAATAATAATAATAATAATAATAATAATAATAATAATAATAATAATAGTAAACACTTTTGTGGATTGAAAGTAATCTCTTTAAGTGCCAATTTCCCACAGTAGCTGCAGACAGAGCATGATGCTATAACAATAGTGACGAATTAAGTGGGAATGCAACAGAACCATAACCATCACCTTTCCTCACGAGTCCTGCCAGTCCTGGAACACTTTTGTAACTAAAAAAATAAAACATGAATTACTCTAATGTGGTCTAATTCGGGGTTCTAATTTTGAAGCGTAGGACATTTAAAATAAAAACTTTTATCTCCCCGCCCCTCCCAAAGAAAGTCTTGTAGGAAACTGACCCAAGCAGGTGAGCGATTCTAAACACTTTAACCCTGTTGACACAAAACAGCTTTCACTTATGTATAAAAAATTAGAAACTGAAGCTGACCAGACTAGTTTAATTATCCAAGCTCAGTCAAGGGAAGCACACGTACATGGAAACAGAAAATGAGGGGGGAAGGAGGAGGGGAGAAATGTAAATTTCTTTTCTATTCCTTTGAACTTTTGGGAAAGTTTATTATACGTTGAGTAGGATGAAGAGGTGGGGAAAGGAATTATTTTAATTCGCACTCCTTCGTTACCTTTAAACCTACATCTGATCTGATGATTAAGCTGTTATTCCGCGGCTCATGGAAACTGTTACCTCTGAATAAACTAAAACTCCCAAGTCTTCCAAATGACATCATCTTTTTACCAACATGGCTGCTTCTAGCAGCGAGCTCAGATATGCCAACCGCAGCAACACCACAAATTTCTACTAGTTATTTTTTTTAAATTTATTTTAGTGCCAGAGGACTTCTGAACTCAGCCCCTGTTGGTGTGGTGGTGGGGGGAGGTCGTTGACTTGGCTCTTCAGAGTGATCCAGTTTAGTTTTCACCGAAACTTATTTCTTTTCCCAGAAACTTTTCCTTTCGGGGATCTGGCACCTGAGGCAAGCAGCTCTTTGCATGGCAGAGGGCTATCTGGAAAACTCACTTGCTGGGTGACATGGAAGAGGAAAGCTAGCAGGGAGCAGCACCACAGGGGAAAACGGGCTTAAAAGCCTTCTTCCCACTGGATCCAGCTCCATGATCCAATCTGAAGGGCCGATCTGGCTTCCATACCTCATAAGTTTCTATTGTTCCCTAACCCAACAGCATGCAGAAGCTTCCACGTTTGGAGTTTATTGCAACAGAAACATTCCTTCTAGGCAGAGCAGAGGGGAAGCTGGCTCGGTCCTAGCTTTATCACCAACTAAGTGGTGGACTTACTGCTTCCAGTCAGCAGAGGGGTGGGGTTTCCAGTGCCTGGTTTTCTTAAAGGGCCCACGTTCTATAGTAAGCTTAGGAATGTATGGGTCTTGAACAGGATTTGGAGGAAACGTGCATTTTGACATGGGTTTTTTTTTAGTTTTTTTGTTTGTTTGTTTAGGCAGTAATCGTGTTTAGGAGACTTTAGGGGGGAAGCCATCATCTAAAGCTTCCCTGCTGATACAGATGGGAATAAACTGGAGAATATTTTTTTCACTGGGGTTTTTATTGTTATGGCAAAGCCAAAGCGTGTCTAATTTTCTACATCTTGTAAAAGTGAGTCCCCTCATAAACAGGCCAGGTATCACAACATTGGTTCGGTAATAGCATTCCAATGGGAACACTAGTTAAAAAGCCAATAATATCATTATAGAACCCCTTCTCAGCTTTCCTGGGGGGAAATGAATCGGAAGAATAAATGGTAGTGTGTGCTGCCCTGAGGAAGAAGAGACACATTTAGATAATCAGTGCCATTTGAAAAACAATGACATTTACCTTTGCTCCAAATTTAAGCTATAAAAGTGTAGCACAAAGGAAAAGGATGCCTTAGAGTCTAATTGCAAGACCCAACATCAACATTCTTCTTTGTCTAATACCATTTGTGCAGCTGGTTCACTCCACAGCCTTGGTACTTTCAATAGTAAAGCTAAAACAATGCTATAAATCATAGGGAAATTTTGTTGTTCAATTTTTAATGGCTCTAAATAAATCGCTGTCCATATCTTTTTGCATTAATGTCAAATACGAGTAATTTCATTCAAACTCTGACTGGATTTGGTGGTTGCCAGACACACCATTGCAGTTTGGAAGAGAATTGGAGTGAGGCAGGTATGAGGTAGATATCATAGACTGTCAGAATTTGGATAGAATCATAAAAGGATGTGCCACTGTGCTGCTATCATTTCTTGAAAGATAGTTGATCATGTTTTCTTAAATATACTTTTGATTTAGAGGTTATGTCTAGTCCTTAGATTTAGTATAGAGTTTCTCATCCTTGGCTTTTATTCACACTTGAAACTGGAAAATTCTTTGGTAAGGGGTGGAGGGTGCAGGGTGGTAACCATCCTGCAGACTGATTACCAGTATCCCTAGCCTCTACCCACCAGATGCCAATAGCAGGCCAGCCAAAAAGGTCTCCAGATGTTACCAATATCCTCTGTGGGACAAAATTGCCCCCATTTGAGAACCACTGATGTAAGTGAACAATTACTTTTGCAGTTAAAGCAAGGCCACTTTGGGGTGGCTCTTCTGGCAACACATAGATTACATCCCACTGACACATCAAGGTTGTCTCTCTTCCATTCCATAGTCCCATCGTCAGGAGATCCTGAACCCAAACAACCACATCCATACTTCCTACCATTGCTGGTGTTCAACCACCCATTTCTTTAGCATGCATTTTCAATATTTCACACCTGTTAATGTCAAACTAGCCTTCCATCTGCAGCATCCATCCAGGCAAAAGAGCATGCCTATGGGATTGAATTACATGTCTCATCTCTATCTTCCTGTTCCCGTTTACTCATCAATAGTTCACTGAATCAAAGCCACTTCTACAAATGTAGTTTAAAGAAACAAATCAAAGACTAACATAAATCAGATGAGAATCCAGTAAGAATTTCAACAAACATTGAAACATATGATCCACATGTTTAATTGGGTCATAATTTAGCAGCCTACAAAACCTAACACTTGTCTTGACACATATCATTCAGAACTGCTGACCAGGAAATGCTTTTTAAATTCTACTAAATACACAGCAGAGCTTGAAAGAGTGTATAGAAAAATCCCAGGCTCCCAAAGCAAAGAGGAAAACTAGAAACAACCCAAATGTCTACCTACTATATAAATTCTGTTCTACTCGTGCAATGGAATAATAAACAACAATGAGAGTGAACAAACATGAAGCACCATGAGCGAGCTTTACAAACATAATGATAAGCAAAGGAAGCCAGCATATGCTGTATTATTGCATGTTTATAAAGTTCATAATTAGGCAAAATTAATCCATAATGTCAGAAGTCAGAATAATGATTCTCCTTGAGAGGAAATAGTGTTTGGGGGGGAAAAATAGGAGATTTCTAGTGATGTTCATTTTCTTTGGGTCAGTTCTGAAAAGGTCTAAGAGCTATTTATTTATGATCTGTGTAGTTTTCTATATGTATGTTGTACTTTATAAGATGTGTGAATCAAAAAGGGGCAGGGTGGGCATTATAATCCAGAGTAATAACCTGTCAGCTGAAACTGGGGCAGCAGCCCTGTGGGCCTAAGACACCTACAAAATGCCAGACTATCAAAGAGCTATATACACACACTGAAAGGCTGGACTAAGTGGGAAATAGGAAATTTTTATTTTCCAACCAGCAAATAGGAAAATAAAAAGGAAGCTTGTTTGTTTATCTTAAACTGGATTCAGAGAGTGTGTTTTTTAAGTCTTTTTGGAAAAGTTATCATCTAGATTTAAGCCTCAAAGGATACCTTAGAGTCTAATTGCAAGACAAAGAGTCAGGAGTTTCACGTATATAATTTATACTATCTACAAGGATCAGAAATCCCCAAGATGACATAATATCTTAAAAGTTGGGATGGGATGGAAATTCTTTGGGTAATGCAATTGTTCTATATCTTGACTGTGGTGGTTACATAAATGTATACATTTGTCAAATGTCACCAAACGTACTCAAAAAGAGTATTTGTACTTTATGTAAAATCCAACCAAATAAACTGCCAAAAAGTAGCTGATG